TAGAAAACTGTGCACCCATAGGATGCTTTCTTTGCATGGGAGGCTGTAGGAAAAGCATTTTAACCTGGACAAATGAAAGTTAGGAGATGTACTTTAGTGAATGACTGTTTATGTGCTTGAAAACGAGGAAGACTGTCGTCACTTTTGCTTAGGTGCCCTACTGCCTATGAACTATGGACATTGGTGTATGACTTGGTAGGAATCTGTTGGGTACAGGCTGGCTCGATTGAGGAGGAGATTTGGGCCTGGGGTATGGCAGGGTTGAAAACTGAAATTGCAAGACTCTTGTCTGTTTTTTGAGTTATTTGGAAAGAAAGAAATTTAAGAGCTTTTGAGGGGATTGTGAATGATATTAGCAAACTAATAGAGAGATGGTTTAACTACTTCGATTGTCTTGTGTTGGGGTATGATATCATTCAGGTTGAGGATTTTGGGGATGTCACTGACTCACTAACAAATTTGTAAATCTTTTGTAAAGGGGCAGTACCCCTTCTTTTTTGATACCTTACTAATACAAATATTATACTTTTTCTTTCAAAAAAAATGTTGAGTTATCATCTTTGGCACTGTCTTTGGAAAATAATTGTAAGGTGTGAATCTAACCAAACTAATATGAGAAACGGGTAGAACACTATTGAATTCTTTTGTAATTGATTAAAAAAAGTCTAAAAGTATCTTAACTAGATGATCAAATTGGATTGGTTAATCTGTAAGAAAATTCCTATTCATAGGTGTATACATGAGGTGCATGTGACACTATTATTGGTGTATCATCTTAACTAGATGATCAACAATTTACGTTGAGACTGATAATAGCAAGATGTTGGTGTGACACTAGTTTTAGTATTTTTCTACTGTAAGGAAAGGCTAGAAGGATTAGAATTTTTTTTTTCAGATAAAACTTGTGAAATTCAATATGAAAATTAGATTTTTTTTAAAGATAAGATCATTTTTTATTGAAAAAAAATCAATTTTTCTTTCTATACAGAGTAAAAATGGCGAAAGGTAGGAATAGAAGTTGGACTCTAATAGTAACCCATGCAAGATGAGTAACGGTTAAACTAATTTGTCTTACAAATAGTTTAGAAGTAAAGAAAGAGTGAAAAACAAAGAAATAAAGGTAGATAAAGGAAATTAAATATTAAGGTGAAGAAATATGGTGACAGATAAACTGAATGAGATATATGAAATAAAATAATAATAAAAAGAATGAGCATAGAGAGAGATAACATATAATAAAATCATAATGAAAAAATTTTTAATTCATCATTTTTTTTTTCCTTTATTGATATCTACTAACTTTTTTATCTACACATTATTTATAATTAATAAAAAATTATATAAGAGAAAATATTAGAAATTCTAATTCTCATATTTTGGAATCTACCAAAAAGAAACTAAAATAAACTAATAAATCAACTTAACTATCCTAAATAACTTTAAAACATAATATAATAACAACTGCAATACCCGGGGTCGGAAAATTGGCCCAGGATAAATTTTGTTAACTTAGAGAGATATAAAAAATAAAATAAAATACATTTTATAGATTAATTTAATGAAAATTTTGTTTTATTTGGAAAAAAATAAATTAGAATGAGATTGAAAATAATTTTGGTAAAAATTGGTGAAAAACTGAGTTCGATGACATTTTTGAAAGAAAATTAGAAACTAGGGGGTCAGAACGTAATTTTAAAAATTTTACCACGTGGGACTGCCCAGTTAGCAGCCTTAACGAACCGA